ATCTATAATTCTTTTAATACAGTTTAGTCCTTTAATTCATTGATATTTTATTCCGTTATTATATTTCAATTCTATGTTATGCACGTAGAACATCAAATTTGCATAATGAATTTTGCGCGTTTTTGCTTTAGAACTTACTCGGAATTATGTTTAATATTAAATCTTCAAATTATTTTTAAATAGATACTCATATTCTTATTAAAATCTTATTTATTAATAATATTTGTATACATATATGTAATGTATATATTTTTTAAAATCATTTCTCTTATAATTAAGTATACGTTATATAATTGTTAAAAAGATAGTTGAATTTTAATGATGTATAAATTTTTAGGGCACCTCTTAGTGAAATGAGATCATCAGCGACAACCATTGAGGTTCCTTCATCGAGTATGCAGGCCACTCTTGTTGAAAATGCTCAACCAATCGATTTTTCCAGTAAACCCGATAGTAATGTTTGACTTCTAAGAGCTAATTGGCGAAAGTCTATCATTGTGTATGAATGATGATGAATGTTGACTTGGTCGAACAATGATCAGCCAAGCCCATGAACATTCATTATTGCAATAAATCATTTATTTATTTTTTAATAATAGTATAAAAATTGTATTGCATAAAAATGGAATTGGTACTATTTATTATGTAAGTTGTTTGTATTATTTGTGTCAGGGTTTGAATGAAATGTTAGTCAATTGTTTTTGTTATGTTAAAGAAATATTAGTTACAGTAAGTTTGTTTCGTCATACATACTGTCTGATACACTTCCAGTTCAAAACTTTGGTATTAATAACAAGAATACATTGCATCATTATAAATTACATATCGTTTGCTCACATAAATGCATGCACTCATAAATGTATACTGAGAAAAATCAGGTTTCGATCTCCTGTTTCAAATAATGCCAAAGTTAAAGACTGCTACACACAAATCATATTCTAAACTTATATTCATGGGCTTGGTTTCCATGTGGTCCTACTACTTGTAACGCGTGTCATACCAGCATGATCTAAGAACGAAATTCGTGATGAATACAATTAATTAACTAACCGATTTTGGATGTGATCGATTGTTGCAGTTTTATATTTTCAAATATATAAGTTGACTTTTTTAAAAAAACAAAGGTAACACTTCCAAAATCAAAGCATTTTAAGACTTTAAGACAGATTACTCAATAAGGTCTTGAAGATGGACGAGTCATAATTTGTTAGTTACATAATTTTTTTCTTATACGTACTTTTTAATATTCTTCTCTCTGCCAAATTAATTGTATATATGTATACACGTTGATTCCTATATGTATGTATTCAAATTCATTCTTTGTCTGATACATATGTAAATTTCTGTTACGTGTATTTTTATATAACGATTTTAGAATCTAGACTTCCGAACTGAATTCCTCGTAGTAAATATTTCATTTCTATGGCCAAATA